CCCCCCCCCCCCCCCTCCCCCCCGGGTCCCTGGTCATCCAGAGCGTCGGGCCCCATGCACGCACCTTCTTCAGGGGATGGTCTCGGCAGTAAAGCAGGCAGTTGTCGAAGAGGAACAGATGCCGGGCCTGCGACTTGCTGTTGGACACCTTGACCACGGGCGAGTCGTACAGGAGCTCCTTGTTGTCGACGTCCAAATCCGGCCCGGCAAAGTCGTCGATGCGGGTCTGCAGGTGACGCATGTGGATCTTGGCCTCGTGCAGGCGCTGCATCTCGTTGACAAAGCTCGCGCTCTTCTTCATCAGGTCCTCGGCCTGGAGAATGAGCGGGAGTTCCGAGGTCGCGGCGGCCGAGCCGGCAACGCCGGTGGAATCCCCCGGCGATGAGGGGGACACTGGTGCCGCCGTCAGGAAGATCTCCGGTGTGGCCTTAATCACTTCGCGCAGGAGCAGCGGATACTTGCACAAGCGCTGGATCGGGGTCAGCAGGAACCCCTCCAGCGGGATGGCCTGGTTGATCATCATTTGACAGGCCATGAAGACGCGCTGACGTTCGTCCCCCTGCAGGCTCTTGAGAATGTCCACCGCCACCGGGTGATTGGTGCAGTACTGCGCATACATCTTGAAGCCATCGCGCTGCCAGAGGGAGGGAGGGAGGGAGGGGGCGCGTTAGGATGTGGCCGAAGAGATTGGCGCGCAAGCCCATGTCGTGGCGCATGGGGGAAGACACGCACATGCTTGAGGAAGGCCTGTGCCAGGGCCAGAACATCGGTGATTGAAATTTCCCGCAGCGTGGCGTAGAACTCCCGGTGGAAAACCAGCAGATCCTCGGCATTGCCGAAGATTTTGCTGATCAGGGTCTCATTGTCCTTGAACATGTTGCTGGAGACGATCGTGTGCTTGTAGCCCTGGGTGATGGGCGCGATCACCAGTAGAATGGCAAGGAGGGGGCAGGGTGAGCGGAGGCGTGACATGGCCAAATGCAGCTGCAGCCGCAGCCGCAGCCGCAGCCGCACCGACAGAGAGCAGGGGAGAGACGGGCAGAGGGGGGGGGGGGGGGGAACAGTGCACGCACCATGACCACCACCTCCAGGCTCTTGATATACTCGGCCTCTGATGTGATGATCTCCTCGATCACATAGTGCAGAGGCTCCTTGCTGGGCGCGCGGGGGGCCGTCTCCGGGGAGACCGGCGACTGTGGAGAGGTCGGGGGCAGGCCCTCGGCCGGCAGTGTTGCATCGAGAGTGGCTGAAGATGGGGCCCAGGAGGGCAGGCATCAGCATAGGCGCACAGGCACACGCACAGGCACACGCGATAGACAGGGGGATCGCGAAATGTCAGCGGCAAGGGGGGTCGAGCAGGCGATCACCGGTGACAGGCAGTCGGCAATTGTCGGGGCGTACAGGTGGACGGGTCGAGATCCAGCGCATCCGAGGCCACGAGCGGCGAGGAGAGGGACATCTTCAGGAAGACACGCCCTCGGGCCGGGGGAGGGAGGGGGAGGGGAAGAGAGAAAGAGAGGAGGGCAGGGAAAAGGGAATAGGCAGGCGGGACACAGAGGGGAAGGGCGAGATTCGGCGGGCCAAGAGGGAGGAGGAGGGCGAGGAGGCGCCTCGGCCGGGAGGGGAGGGGCAGGTGGGGGGAGAGGAGGCGATTGCACGGGGTGAGGGGCGACTCGGTTGCCTATGGCGCCCTTCTTGAACGTGGATTCCACCCGTGTTGTTGTTGCTGGGCTTCCTTCGCCTGGCCGGGCCGAGTGAGGCGATGCGTGGGTCGCCGTCCAGCAGGACGTGCTGTGATCGCCAACGGCGGAGTATGCGCACGGGTAGTATGTCTGGCACGCGTAAATGTGGCATTCAAGCGTGCGTGCGTGCGTGCGCGGGTGCGTGCGTTCGAGCGTGCGAAGGTGTGTCGTTGTGCGAGCGAGCGCGTCCTGGAGTATGTGCATCGATTGGTGCTTGAGCTGTGATGCGCATCGATTACACCTCCCTTGGCCCCCGGCCCGGCCCGGCCCCCCCCCCGGCGGCCCGTTCCGTTTGCCTGTGTCAGCCGTCGGGGAGGAATGGTGCTGAGTTGCCCCCGCACAGTTGCTTACCTTGGACCCGGGGCCCAGGGCCTGGTCCGAGGGCCGACACTGCCCTGGTGTGGTCGGCGCCTCCGCGGGCGGGAAGGCCAAGGGAAAGAAGAGGGCATCTTCCGTGCATTTCGGCGCTTCGCCCGGGGCCCCCTCTTTCTGCCCGGACCATCCGCTTTCGGCCCCTCCTTTTCCCGGGCTCCCGGGGCCGGGCGCACCATTGTCTCCGTCCTTCGCCCCGGTCTCTCTCTCTCTCTCTCTCTCCCTCTCTCTCTCTCTCTCTCTCTCTCTCTCTCTCCCTCTTTTTGTCTCTCCCTCTGAGGCTCCCCCAAAATACCTTGGGTATCACACCCTCGCTGGCACATAATAATGCCCTATATGCCATGGAGGGGCCGGCCCGACACCAGGTGGTACACAAACGACGGGCAACCGTGCCAAGATCGCGAAAGGGGGGAGGGCTACGCGTGTGGGTGTGTGTACACCGGGGAATGAATCTCTTTGTACACGCATGCGGATGCTTATCCGGGAGGGTTGACCTCACGACAGAGGCACCCTTCTCCTCGGCCCGGCTGGGCCACTTGCCCATCTCTCTCTCTCTCTCTCTCTCTCTCTCTCTCTCTCTCTCTCTCGTTGTCCGCCCGTCTCCGGGAAGAGAACGGCGGACCCCGGCACGGGCGGCGCTCCCAGCGGAGGCCAAGGGAACATGGTGGCTGCGCTCCGCGCGGGAACAGGCGCACCGATGGCACCGGCATTCCATCTGCGTCCGCCTCGGCCTCCGGGCGTCGTAGAGGCATTCGCCGAGGTCCATTCCTGCTCCCGAGGGGCATTCGCTCTGGCGCCACCCCTCCTCGGGTTGGTGCCAGGAGAAAGGCTGTCTCATATGTTTTTTTTCGTCCGCGCGTTTTGTTGGCGCCTGCTCCGGTCTCCCGAGGGGTGAAGGCCGATTCCCGGCCATGTGTCGACCGATGCCTTCGGGGAACGCACGCCGGCGTCGCAGCTGGTGTGTTGATCGCCTCCCCGGGCCCAACCGCCCCACGCCGGATCCGGCCAGCTGCCGCCGCGGGGCCCGTCCAGGAGGGAGGGGGTGCGGGCAAACGCGCGTCGGCATGCAGCCACCGTCCGGACGCCGTTCGCGCCCCCCCCCCCCCCCCCCCCCCCCCCCCCCCCCCCCC